TTTCCAATTTTAGTTCTCCAGATTGACTCATAACTGGCGTTTTTTTGTAGGAGAACAAGCAAACTGCAACTCTCCTTTAGATAGGATGCTTCCCTGGAAAGGTCTCCAGTGCCGGTTTTTGACTAACTTTTTCTCTGCAGAACTGCCCCTCTTCATGTAGGATCTGGGGTTCAGCTGAATATTTGAGTGAAAAAATAACCCAAATGCATTGGCAAGGCTGGCAGTAATTCCCCAGCTATCATGAGTGAAAAACCACCATGCTGCTGTACTGGCATCGTGTCATGTAGAACTGATAGGCAGTATGTCATAGGCCCAGTGTTTAAAACAAGTGAAAAAGATACTTACTGCTTTCAGGTGGTAAAGACCACCACTTGTAAGATCCCTCCTTAGCAGTATTACACAATGTTATTATTGCACTAATACGCTTTTTCAGTCCTGGAGCAATGCACAACTTTTGAGTCAGAAGGCATCCAGAGGTGATAGTATTCCCACATACAAATTTAGAAATATACTAATAAACAGAAATGTTTTCCTTTTATTTAATTAGAACAGTTTTTCTAGCATAAGCATTTTGTAAGTGATCTGCAACTGAATAATTAGTAAAAGGAAATCACCAGAAAATTTAAAATTTAAATCTAGCTTAACTGAGTTGAATTAATAAAGCCTTAAACTTCTATAAAACCTTTGAACATGATCCTGTTGTTAATAAAGCAAGTGCATTAGATTAATATAAACCCTTCTGGAACCTGTTGCTATTTGTAACATGGTCCAGGCTCAGTTTAGCGTTTAAGGAATTACTTTAATTAGACTGTTCATTCGGTGGAAATACTGGAAAGGGGAAAGTCAAACTAGTAGGTGTGGATAGAGTTTCAGAGGAGCAGGGACACTACCATACCTCCAGCGGACAAAGCCTGTCCCAGCAGACAGGGATCAAGGCTGTGTTTGGCTCGGTCAGCTGGAGAGAGGTTTGGTGGGAGCCCTCGGTGGCAGCGGAGGTTGGTTTGCCCACCGCTGCCCTTGGGGTTCACGTGAGGGCTCCCCCTTCTTTCCTTCAGGTCTTGTACCCTCCAGATGAGGCAGGGGGAGGGCTGGGGGGTCAGTTCAGGGAGCCTGGGCAGCTGGAGCTGTTGGCCGAGGACCATCTGGCTGAACGAGCTCCCCAGCCTGGAGGGATGGGGCTGGTCAGTGGCTGGCCCTCAGAGCGCGGGTGATCCCGGAGGGGAGGAGGATGCCCGCTCTGGTTTTGCGGGCCACCGTATCCCCCCTGGTCGGAGATGTCGCTGGCTCCCCAGCATCCCAGCTGGCCTCAGCCCATCCCACGGGCACGGTTCAGCTGTCCCCTGCAAATCCTGCGGATAGAGGGGGCCGGTGTGTGGGATCAGCAGTTCCTGCCCACTCGGCAACCTCTGTCCCACGGGAATATGGGTGTCACAGCTGGGAGCACGACGTGCCTGTCCAGCCCTTCCAAGATCTCGCAGGGCACAACTCCTCCGGGTGCCGGGGATGCTTCCGGGCCCGGGCCAGCCCTCCAGGTGCGGCTCCTGCCTAGGTAGTGTCATCGCCGGGAAGGGGGAGCGTGTGACCGGCCCGGGGGGCGGGCGGGCCGCGGTTTCCGAACCGCGGCTCGGGGCGGTCCCGGGATCGAGCTGTGTGGTCTCTCTCGGGCACCTCCCGGAGCGAGTGCTAGGGGGTTGAGGCATGCCCTGCCGTCGAACCGGCAGCCCCTGTCCTCCGCTAAACCCGAGGAGCAGGGATGTGTGCGGCAGCGGCTTGTAGACGAATTACGGCTCCAGGAAAGCCTCTCGCCCTTTTGCCTGAGGTTATACGAGCGCTAAAAGGTGGCGGGGGGGGGGGCGAAAAGCACAGGGGAAGGATGCCCTCGCTTCCCGGAGCCCTCCGCCTTTCACCTTGGCCAGCTCTCCCGTTTTACGCTCCTTCCCAGCCAGGGAATACCCCTCCCGGGTCGGCAGGCAGGAGCACCCAGAGGAAGAGCTGCTACAGCCCGTGTCGGGTGCTGCAGACATCCTCTCAGTAGCAGCGGGGCTGCCGCAGCTCCCGGGCGGCACGGTACCTCGGAGAGCTGGACCCAGCAGGCACGGCTGTGCCTGGGCACGTAGGAGTCACACCGGCTCTGCTAAGGCTACTTAGCAGACACCGGGAGTTACGTCTTACAGGACTCCCTGCACTACAGTACATTCACTCAGAAAAGGTGATGATCAAGAGAAAAGTCTTAGAAGTTTCCATTTTTAATCCAGGAGAGGGAGGGCAAGAGATTAAGCATAAATCCATTCCCTGGAAGAAGCAAGCATCTTGTTCCAGAGGCACTTGTGACCTCCTGTCACTCTTATCACACTGGGCACCTGATATCCATAAAAGAGAAGCAAGCACTATCAACCTGACCCATGACAGACGATGCCAAGTTTGGGACTAATAACTGATTCTTTTGAAAAAGACTCTTAGAAATGGTAACATCAAGTAACAGTTAAATGTACTTTAATTCCTTCAAACAGAAGGATAGCTTGAAGGTACATCAGAGAAATTATTTCATTGATTTCAGTCTCAAAAAAAAAAAGCATGGCTTCAAAATTCAGGAACAGTATCCAATAAACAAAGTACTATTGTTATGCACCTGTTTTAGAGTGTGGTACAAAGAGAAGCTTACAAATTCAAATAAATGGCATAAATGACTGAGAAATCAATTCAGATAATGCTTGTTTACAGGGACAAAAACTATGGTGACAAGTATGAATAAGCACACAGATAATCTGTTTAAAAAAACCCAAACCTTTCTAACTGTATTTACACACACGGATATATTTGCTTTCCTTTGGCACTAGAAATTACAGACAAAAGATTCCATTTTATAGCAATTAAAATAAAAGTAACCTTTGAGTCATTTAAGTCGTACAGCCCCAGCACAGTAGCTTCACCTTTATTAAATTGCTGTCAGCTCTATATTCTAAACCCTAGAAATTCAGGCCACAAAGCCCAAATTCAGCTTCCACCTGTGACAAATTTCACTTGGCAGGATTAACTGGATATGAGGAGCTCAAGCAGCAGTGGGGAATTAATGAGAGATACAGACAGATATTTAATAAGAGTGAATCTCCCATTCTTATCAGAGGTGGACATCTACCTTTAAATGCTCTTTATATGCATATACAAATTAAATCAAGTAAAAATGGATGCCCATTACATATATTCAGCCAAATTAGACATGAAGTGAACAGTCAGAGCACATGATGGCCATCTGTAGTATTTCTTCAGTGTTGCAGAGAAATGTGTTAATCCCTATTCACTTCCATTGCTAGAAAAAAAAAATAAATTAAGATTACACTTAACAAATATGGTTTATTCTTTTAGCACGTTAGTTTAGTCTTTAGCCGTTGCCAGGAGTAAACCCTTAAGTTTCACAGGAAATTCAGTATTATCAGTACAGTAGCAAGAGTGTTTTGACACCCTATAAAATCCTAAGGAATGTGCAAGAAAAATCTCAGAAGTAGCATTTAATTACCCAGACTTCTCATTTCTTGTTCATGGTATTTGACTTTACAGAACCTGAAGATTTGATTACTTTCAAAACAGTTTTTATAGGTCTTCTGTTAGTAACCAACAGGGGTGTAACAACAATGGCACAATATTTTTCCCAAAGCATTAAAGACTAGGAAAATATTATTTTCTTTGAAGAACTACAATCAATTAGGACTACATAAAAATTAAGTAATGAGGCATCATGGCAAGTAATAGCACATCGACCCTCTACCACAACAGGAAGCGGTTTTCAATCTTACAACAAAAAGGAACCAAATGAAAAAGAATCTAAAATTTATAGACTTCATAGGTTTTGTTCCTTCTCTCTCTAGATGGTAAGAAACTGTTACTAATTAACATTTTACTTTGCTCTGCAAGCAGGATCAGGGCAGAAGCTTTTGTTGAGATAGAATAAAATAAATGGTTGCCTTATTTTTGCATTGATCACACGCAGACTGGACGTTGTATTGTCTCTGATAACTGGACTGAATCCAAGCTGGACCAGACACTTACAGAATGTTTCCCTCACACATGTTATTTGGGCATGTCTCAAATAGAGATTAATCTTGTTCTGCTAAGTGTATTCTTAAGCATCAAAATAAGCTGAATTTGACTATAGCAAATTCCGTGAGGAAAAGGAATCAGAGAATATAACAGCAAGTCTTCCCAGAAGACAGTCTTTTCTACACATCCAAAGAGAACTAGCTGTTTGAATTTTAGATTAGCTGATACAACATTTTTTTAAATATTTCAAAAGCACAGCATGTTAAAACAACTTTCATTACACTTTGTGGAATACCAGTACCAACAACCTCTAAGTGAAACTGTTACAAGCTACTCAAATGCAGTCTCTTAAAATGAAAAAGAGTACAGTATATCTAAAGCATATATACATGCTGCTACCAAGGAAAGAAAGCAGTGAAGTAGCAACTTTATACACGAGCTTCACTAAGAATCTTGCTCTTTGAAATAGCCCAAAAATTAGCTTGCACTTAACATTTATTTTCAACCAAAAAGACTTACAAAACCACCCAAATCTTATTATAAGACCCCTTGGTCTTTTTATTCTCAGCTTGCATGATATTTTCATGCAAACTGATTTACTGGAGATACAGTACTGCAAGTTACTACTTAATAAAAAAAATAATCTAAGAATCAAGTGATTTTTCTTTTTGCAAAACATGAATATAAACCTCTGTCTTCACACAAGGCATATGCACATACAGCCCTGTCTTACAGAGTTAGGTAATTCTAGAAACAGAGTGTGCAGTAGTAACTACCAAATGAAACACTTTACAAGTACTGAAATAGTGGAAACTAAATGAACTGATTATCAGTCCACACAACCACAAGGTTGCATTGCACTACATAAATACTGACCAAATGCCCCCAAAAAATGCCAAGAAACTACAAGAAAGTTCAAAACAGGGTATTAAAACTGTTTCTTTCAGTGAAGACCAACCAGTCCCTTTGTGTACACATTTAGTTTTATTGTAACAAAGCAACTTGTACACTTTAACGTTTAAAACTGAGCATCTTTCTTTCCTTTCCAGTGAAACAAAAAAAAAAAAAAAGAATTTAAAAATAAACAAGAACAAAATTACAATAGAGAATGTCAATTCCAAATAAGATCCTACAGGTTCTGCTGATTCTCCATCAAGTGGCAGGGCTCAAAGTCATCATTAGGAGAAGATTTTATTTTAAAAGTGTCATCTTAAACTGCAAGGATGTTTGTTAAACATCACAATTAAACATGCCAAAGGAGAAGAAGCCATGTTGTCAAAATGCCCACTTAACCCACCCAAACATCTGAAACCCACCCCGGCTGACCTTCTATAACCCCATTTTTTTTTTTTTTTTAGTTTTTTCTTTTTTTTAAACAAGAGAAAGTAGACAGATACATGTTGGTAAATGCTAACTGTCCATATTCACATAGAGACACAGTGTAATCTCTGAGCCCAATATACAGAGAAAGAAGGAAAAAAGCTAGATTCTATGCACTACTACACAGGGGCCTAGCACTCTTCAGCTTCCAGCAGAGTGAAGGGAGCAGAAGGTTTTCTTTTTTCCCACAGAACATGGTGTGTTGATTCCATAAACAGTTTTTGTTTTGAGACAGAAAGGGATAAAAATGAACTTGAAACAGAAACCGGTAGATTCTTTTCCACTGTATTCTGCTCAAGGTATTTCCCCCAAAATAAATTGTGAACCATGGTGTAGAGGAGAGAAAAAGAGACCTCAAGAGAACAAGGCGACTGAGCACAAGAAAAAAAAGACAGCAACTTGCTCCCAGGGACTGGAGAAAAATTAAAAAGGTAAAAAGGGGGTTTGGAATCCATCAGTGTTCAATTAGTCATCTTCTCCTTCATCCTCCTGTTGAAAGAGAAGCAACAATTAAAAAAATCTACTCACTCAACTTCAGATAGCACGAACTTTCAAATGCAATAACCAGAATTGTTTTACTACCCTACAGAGTACAGCCCTACAGTGTTACTCATAGCATGCTATACGATGATCTCTCTTTCCCTCTTCGCTAAGGGGTAGTAACACTTGCCATGAGTACCTGTCTACACAGAAATCAGTTAATAACTGGATGTCCCAATGAAAAAAACATCAGGTTTGAAAAACTACCGTGACTTAGAATCACTACAAACCTTGACATAAGTTTAATGTTTAGGAAGTGAAGGGGTCATCTTTTTTTCCCCTCTTTTTAAACTCTGAAGAGCAAAATGCTTCAACTTTCAGATGCTAAATTCTAGGTTATATAATAGAGCCCAGTACTCTGGTGCCCACAACAGCCCTCCTATCTCAATACAAGTAGTTTTTTGCTGCTGAAATTCAGACACACCACGCCCAATTACAAGAAACAAAGACATTCTAAACTTTGTTACCAACACCCTGAATGCCGTCACTGGAATCCCACTTGCTACTAAAGGAAATTTCTACTTCCTGAACCCAAGAGAGAGTCTTAGCTAAGCTGGCCATAAGCAGAAATAACCCAACAGGTGGGAGGATTACAGAACTGGATGCATCAACAAAAGCTATTTACAAGTAAAGCCTTGCTAGAATGCTCGCTAATAAGAATTTTCTTATGCTAATATCCTAGTTCTTCTAGAGCACCTCCCTCACAAATTTACTAAAACTACTCATTTGCACTGTCTCTCATATACACAAACATACGTATTACTACAGTGAAACCACTCCACAAGTTAAGGTAGTAACAGTTCTGCTTCTCCCCTCCAAACACCTTGTCAGTGACTGTACAGAAAAGAACTATTTTACCATTGTAACAATGGCTCAGTATTCTTTTAAGATCCCTCTTAGAAATTTCTTTTGATTCTCATATACCAGAGATGGAAGATGTAAGGAGTAAGATTACTCACCTCTCCTTCCTCTCCCTCATCGTCATCTTCATCTTCCTCCCCCTCATCTTCATCTCCTTCTTCATCAATATCCTCCAATCCTTCTTCCTCTTCATCATCATCATCATCCTCCTCTCCCTCCCCTTCTTCATCATCCATATCAGGAACCTTAAAGACACATATGCAACATTAACTACAGTGATCAAATTCACTTTCACCTTCACAGTGCTATTATGGGTATGGATCAACAACTCAGCACTATACTTACCAAGTAGTACTGTAATGGATTTGGCCAGATGTCATCCTTGATGACTTCTCCTAGTTCATCAGCTCCTGCATCAGAGTGGTCAGTGAACCAGGTAAAGAAGCTTTCTGGCTCTTCATGCTGCCTCTTCCTACTGGCTTTGTTCTGTGTCTGGCTTGAACGTTTTGTCAGATCCTGAAAAGAAAGTTAGGAAGTTCCCTAAAGAAGTGGTCTTTACATGGCCCTTTTTTTTTTTTTTTTTTAAAATAAGCATCATTTAGAAACATACTTGTCTAAACAACCACAAGAAGTCACTTACTACACCCTCTGTCAGGGATAAGTCTTTAAGAAACATTTGGAACCCAAATGACTCACAAAAAAGATACTGTGTTTCTCACAAACATGAGAAAACAGTAAAACCACCTGTTTATTTTAATGACCTCCACTGAAATACTGAAAATTCACAGGATGTTGCATTTGATTTGTTTCCCTATCACAGGGAAGCACAAGTGTGACAAATGTTTAATGACATACTGAACTTAAAAGATTTCACAATGGCTAAATGCTACTCTGAGAATAGCTGCAATTGCAGCTAAACACTACAACTACTACATACACACAATTTAAGAAATATTCAGTCTCCACACCTCTAAGCTCTTCAGATAAAGAACTGCCTAGCGTTCTTATCCTAAGATTTCCCACTTTGAAGTCTTCAGACCATTCTTTGTAGTAAGTGGAAAAAACCACACAAACCGCTAAAACATATGGTCACAAGAACATACACAAGTCCTGTATCTACCACCTTACCCCAGAAGTTTAATAAGTTTGCAACAATCTTTTTGCCAAGTCTGAAAAGGAAATTACTATCCGCTATTTAAATCCATTCTTTCTTTGATCATATGGTAACTCCAAACTTCTAGCATTTGTTTTCTTGATAGAATCACAACATTTATAGGTTTAGACGCTTTAATGAAGACTAATAACAGAATTCACGGTGATTTTGTGTTATGTTGTAAAGATCATTCAGCTAGTTTGCACTGGACTGTAACTTCTTGTACAAGAGGAAAAGTTCTAGTTCTCAATGAAAAAAGATTTCTTCTCAGTCTGAGGGTAAGAAAACAAGCAGCAACTTAACTGCAACCCTCAGTTCTACTTTTAAATACTAATTTCAAAATCTTCAGGATAACATGAAAGTGCTCCCAACTTTTACAGAAACTAACTACAGCAAATTAATTACGTTTGAATACTGTCTGGATGAAAGACATGCCCACATTATTGTGTGGCTGCAACTTCTCCAAAGATGTGGTGTCTGGAAATGAAGTTGGGGGGGGATAAATCACACACCCCTATCAGACCCCCCAAAACCCTGCTGTCCTCAGAATTCCTAATTTAACAGTTATCTTAAGAAAACAACAAAACAGAGTCTAGATCCACTATAGAGACAGACAAGCTAATGCACTTGTTACTCCCTCCATCTAGTCATACTTGTATTTTCACTGGTTTAATGGTGGTACTCAACTGAGCAAGAGAATTCACTACAGAACCCTGCAAGATAGGCACGAGCTATGTATGTAGAGAAGTGGAAAGCAGGTTGAGTGGGGAAGGGAGGACAAAGCAGCTTCAATTAAAAAAAGTAAAAGGAACATCATGAAAGTGATGGTATCACATAGAGCAGCAATCATCTTTCCCAGATGCACAAATACATACCTTCCCAGATTTCCATTTGATCTCAGTTGATTTTGAAGATGGATCTCCACTTTCATTGAGGTGAAACTCTTTGGAGAGAACTTTATTTTCAAAGTATGGATTCTCATCAAAATACTGCAGAGTTGAAAGCAAAGAGTTAGAATCCACATAATGTAAAGACACATGCCAAGTCAAACATGGTACTAAGTGGATAACTGAAGAGAATAAGTTACAAAATACAACCCAGTACGTGATCACATTTAAAAAAAACCAGAAAAATCACAAGTGAAGGAATTAAAGTACTTACAAAATCTATTCTGTAACCTGATTTGATGTCTTCAAATTCTGTCACCTCAACTCTGGTCAAATAATGCAGTGCTTCCTCATCTTCTTCTCCCAGCAGTGCAGATACTAAGACAGAATTAGGAGTACCACATTAACAAAGCTATGAAATGTGTATCATGCAGATGAAACACAGGAAATTGATAGCAAGTAAGATTTGAAGAGCAACACATCTGTCCAAGCCAACTTCTTGCAGCCCATTTTTTTCAAGTGACCAGCCAATAGACTTAGCATTTGTGTGATTTGCATTTGCTGAGGTGAAAACATTACTTTTGCTTGTTGTAGTTCAACATTAAGAAGCAGCAAAAGCTACCTGCATACACGCACCCTTCTCTCTGAAACCCATTTTCACACATATAGCTTGCCCAGTCTAAGCAGTCTACAAACTTGTTTTGTCCTCTCAGAAAGTCTATTGTCAAGAGTCCTAAGCAGCTCACTTCCAATTAAAAAAAAAAACAAACCCAAACAAACTAGAATCCTCCCCGCCTCTTTTTTTTTTTTTTTTAAAGGGCCCAATTAACTAAGAAAAGTGGAAAACTTGTCGTTTAAAATGCAGAAAGAAAACCACCATGGGATTTTAGTGAACAAGATGTGCTTGTTGACCAAAGGAACAAGAAATAAAAAGCTCATAAAATGCACTCTAGGACAAAAAGGGAGTGTTTGCATATGAAGCGGGCTTCTGTTTAAGCATATGCCCAGCAACAATTCTAGAAAATCCTCAGAGCTGCAAGACACTCGCATAACAAGCAAGCAAACACTGAATTTACAGGAAAAGAGAGGGCTATTAAGAATATACCTTGTGGGTGGTTGACAAATGTTGTTACCCAGAAATTTGGGATTTTGGCGATCAATTCTGACCTCTTCTGGAAGAATGGTTGGCGGAGTTTGTTGTATTTCTGTTCTACTTTCAAAATTTCCTCGCTGGCTTGTTCATTCAGTCTGTAATAGGAAGAGCCACATTAACCACAGGAGAGAGAACTGAAATTTAAAGACACATCATCAGTAGTTAGCTAAAACCTGAATGGGTCTGATTAGACTAGTCTGCCATATTCAACAAATGACGTATCTCAAACAAGAAACTGAGGCCCTGTAACGACTATTAAGAAACACACTCCCAGAAACAATCTCACTGATCCTAATGAAACATTCTGAACACACTGTATGTTTTGCAGCATTACATAAGGGACAGACCCTTATTTATGCAAAGCAAAGTCGTATTTTACCTCTTAAGCATTTTGTTCGCAAAAGACCTCAAGATGGGTAACACATAACACTATCACCTGCTCTTTATAACTTTTGGGCAGGCAAGTAAGCTACAGCAAAGCAATTTTGTATCCCACACAAGTAAGATCTGAAGACATAACATTTAATTGGTTTTATAAAAAGGCAGAGCCCTGATACTGCAACAGCTTCACGTGGCCAGAGCCTCAATAGTCACCTGCAGTCTTTGCAGGACAGCGTGCATGGTGATCAGATCCAGGCAAATACCGACACAGAACCCACAGAGCGTTTTGGCACATGAAACTAATGTTCCAGTGACAGTTTCTACACATTATTCTACAAGCATATGAATATATAGTGAAAAAAAAAGTATAATAAAAGCTAACTTTTCAACCAAGTTTTTGGTTCTGCTTACTTTTGCAAAATTGCATACACGTTAACGTGAAAAAACCATACGAAATAAATTTCTATTATCAAAACTATTACAATTAATTTAAAATTTTAAACTCAAGTTCTACCCTTTTAATTATACACAGTTGAACAAGAAACCAGGATACTAGTTGAAATTTTTTATCTTACACAAATACTTCTTACACCTAATCAAGTAAGAACACAACTATATCTGGGCAGAGTTTAAAAAGAGTGAGAACTAGTACCAAGTGCTTACTTTAATAAATATTTTTATTTTTTAAAGTTACATTTTAACTTCTGCTAAAACATTTTAAAAGTTTACCTGTCTATTTCATTCTGTACTTCATCAATGTGTTCAATTGCTTCCTGTTGCTCTTTTTCTGAAAAACAAATGAAAGCACATCAAAATCCCTTCATTTTCAAGTCTGACAAATCACCTGGGGTTTTCACTTAAGACCTTTTCTAGTCATCTACTTTAGAACTACACAGGTATTTCTACTAAGTGTTACTAGGCCTTAAAGCTTCAGCTACTTCCCGGGTGTACTACGGCTGAAGCGCCGAAAAGTTTGACGAAACGGCACTGAAAGCGAGTTTACCCCTAGAAACCACAGCTCACATTCCCCTACACAGTTTTACAAGTCAACTGAAATGGCAATTCAATCACGGCAGATTAATAACAATTTAATTAAAAAAGTTGTAAGCCATATCTACTAAGACCAACACATTTGAAAGAACGCTTAATAATTTAGGGAGGACAGAAATATCAATAGAAAGAGCCTGACTGGGAACACGCCACCTTCTAAAAACCGCAAAGAACGTTCGAAAGGGCGGTTGCAAGCCAACAAGACTCCCGAGTCGCCGTCTGGCAAGTATTTTCTCCTCGGAACTTCCCCTCGACAAAGCCTGGCAAAGGTCTCGGTCGCAGGACGACTGTTTACCTATCGCGCCGGGCGATGAATGAACGGCAGCGGGAAGTCGCCCGAGCAGTGCAGCACGCTCACTCCTCCCCCGGTAAGTTTCCCGCACGGCTCAGCCCGCGTTAGGGGACAGCTCTCCCCGCTCCCCAGCCGCGCGGGTGGACGCGCTGCCCCCCTCCCCACGCCGGGCACGGAAAAAGCACGTGTGTGACCGGAGCTCGCAGCGGGCGCAGCACCGCGGGGCGCGACGGCGGACTGGATGGAAGCAGAGCGCTTCGCCCTTCCCGCGGCGGCGGCCGGGAGGAAACCCGCGGCGCGGCGACCTTTAAAAATCCCGCAGCCGCCCCGATCGCACGTGGGGACGGCGCGGGTGGCTCCCTCGCCGCGCCGCCCGAGCACCGCGTGGCTCC